TCCATTCAATTGCCTGTCTCCTTTAGTGATCCCCCTCTACTGGTGTTCCTGGAACCATGGCCATCTTGATCTCTTTCTAGACTATCCTTCAGTACTCTTTGTAGGGTTGGCTTGGTGATCATGAGTTCCTTCAGTTGTTCTTTGTCATGGAAATATATTATTTCTCTATTAATTGTGAAAGATAGCTTTTCAGGGTACATCGATATGGGTTGGAAGTTGTTTTGTTTCAAGACTTGAAGTACTTCACTCCACGCTCTTCTTGACTTGATGTTTTGTATTGAGAAGTCTGTCATGATTCTGATGGATTTTCCATTATAGGTGATCTATTTCTTTTCTTAACAGCATTTAATATTCTGCTCTTGTGTAGAATTCCTGGGATCTTCATTGTTATATATCTGGGGATAGATTTATTTTGGTTATGGCTGGTTGGAGTTCTATATGTCTTACTTATCTGTATGTCAGCTTTTTCCCCATGTTTGGGAAGTTCTCGGCTATTACTTCTGTAAATAGTCTGTACATCATTTGTGTTGACTTCTGCTTTTTTGCTGACACCTGTCATTCTTAAATTACTTTTCTTTGCATTGTCTTGCAGCCATTGAATGGTTTTTCTGGTTCCTTATTATTTTCAAGAGATCTTTCCTTTTGTGATCACTAGCTTCAATTCTGTCTTCGAGGTCTGAAAGTCTATCTTCAGTTTCTTTCAAGCAGTTTTGCCAGCTTTCAATGGAGATTTAATTTCCTGAATATCTCTTTGAATCTGTTTCATGAATTTCAATTCTTCCCTATATTGCTCTTTCAAAGTTTACCTCATTTTCCTATGCTCCTCTTTTAAATCTATGTCATCTTTAGCTAAATGCAGCAACCCTTTCATTATGTTTGTCATTTCTTCTTTTACTGGAGGTATTATTCATGATCTGATTTCTTTTACAGCATCATGAAGTAGTTTCTTTGCTTCAGTTGCCATCATCCCAGAAATTTCAGACATGTGACTTTCACTTTCTTCCATGTCCATGTCTCCTGGACTTGTTCTGTGTGGGCTGGAGGCCAGAGATTGCCTTTTGTTCATCTTGACACTTTCCTGGGTTTCTCCAGATGAGTTGGTTCCCAGGTGCCTCCTGCATTGGCTGCCCATTTGTGGTGAAGGCACATGGGTCAGGCACCTGGGTTCCTGGGCAGGTGGTGGGGTGCAGAGCAGGCTTTTCCAGACCTTGTGGCTACACTGAGGAGACTTCCTCAATGGGAGTGAGGGAAGGGCTGTCTGCATCTTCTTCTGGGCCTGGCTGCTGCTTCTGAAGAAGAATTTTGATGATTTTTAAATATCTAAATTCCCACAGAAGTCAGCATGGAAACAGGACACCAGCAGAGCTGACAGCACATTAGTCAAATAGCTGGGGCCTACAATGTCCCACCCTTTCTGACAGGTAATTTGACCACAGAAATCACGTGCTTTATAAATGTCCAAACAATCTGGGTCAAAGTACATACTTTATGATCCAAATCATATTAAAAGTGTTTTGTATGGAAGAAAATACAATATGGAAATGCACTGAAATTAACACCATTTATTTCTGCATGATAAGATGGAAGATGTTTGTTGGGATTCTGTTTATAAGTGGTAGAATGACAGGTGAGCTATTCATTGGTCTTTACCACGTGCCTTACTTTTGTAGCTTTAGCAAAACACCTAATGAGCTAAACATCTAGCATCACCTGAACTATTCAGTGCTTTAGAACTCATCATTAGTGGAAGATCCAAGAACAAAGATATCAAAAGAGATAGTTCATATAGAAGACAGAAATGACCCAAGCAGATTATGATCAGGAGGATTTATGAGCAGATGGATTTTTAATTTTCTCCTCACATCCTCAGATTGGAATGGGCAGATGGATTTTTAATTTTCTCCTCACATCCTCAGATTGGAATGGCAATAGAACCATCCTGGGACAAACATGAGAATCCCAGAGTGGAGGAAGAACCAAGCCCATTCTGGAGGGAGTGAGGAGTGGAGGTGGGGTGTTACATTGTAGGAGAAGCCCCCCAGGGTACCAGAGCAGTGCAGAACCTATGATGATAGCAAGTGTCCCCAAAGAAGGCAGCTTCTTGAGGCCCTACACCTTGTGTAGTTTCCCCATGCTTAAAGGATGGAGTGGCACCTTGCTGAGGGAAAGCTGTGGCCTATAAAAGGTTTCATAGCTGGAAGAAGGGAGCCCTGATCGGGGACACAGGGAGGACTATCTTGCTGTGGATTAAGAGGGGACAGGCAGGACAGTAGCTCACAGGTGGAGCCACAGTAGACACGTGGGTGCCTGATGAGCAGAGGAGGCAGGTTACCTGAAGGCAGAGCCACCACAGGCCCTTGCAGTACAAGGCAAGGAGGACACCCCTCTCGCCTTTAGTGCCATTCACGTAAGTGTCCCTTTCCAGTTCATCTTAAAGCTTTGACCTGGGTGTCTGGGAAATTAGGTTACCAGGAAACGACTAGATCAAACTTTCACAAAGAGGGGCCCAGAGTCCGAAATTCAGTTAGCTGGATGCGGGGAACACCTGGAGGACTCTGCTCAGAAGAAGTGCAGCTGTCTCCTTCTTGGATAAATGTGGCCCTGTCTCCATGTGTTGATATGTACAGAGCTGGCCAAGCCATTTCTTTGTGTCTTTGGTTGGTTCTAAGCAATGAAACTGGGCTGGCTGAGGAGCTAATGTGGCACCTCTGAAGCAAAGCGACAGGTCAGTGTTACCCTGCCTAGCGACTCCCCAGGTGGGAAGGAGAGCCATGCTCCACACTATCTGCTGGGACCCAGACTTGAGAAAGAGGTTGTGATTTCCCAGGGCAAAAAGGATTGTCCATCAGAGTTGAAGTACTAACCCCAAATTATTGGATACTCTCTCAGTTGTGTTTGCAGATTACTGTCTTCATTTCTCGCCCTCTGCATATTGCAGAGGTGATCTCAGACCTCCTATCTCGCCCAACTCATGGCTCTTCAGTATTTCCTGCCTTTCTCACTGTTGCTCATCCTGGAGCCACTCCCCTCACGGAGAATTAATAAAATCCAGGTTGGGCCCTGGGTCGTGGCCTTTGTTCTAGTGAATCACCATTTTGGCTGGACTTAGGACACTTTGGTTCCCTATAACTATAAATATGTCTTAGTGTCTTTATTCTAGCCTTGGGTTGCACTGGAAGTGGTAGATTGGAATTAACTTGCTAGAATTCCAGTAACGTTCCCATGGGATTACAATTATAAACTTCCCAGACCAGGATGTGATCCAGGAAAGGGCTCCCTATTGCTGGGGGAAAATACTGCTGTATTTTATATCCCTGGGACCATGAATAATGAGATGTAAGCTCACAGAGACCCTTTTTCAAAGTTCTCAAATATTTAGTGATGACTACACTTACTGTACTTTTGAAGATTATTTTAAAGAAAGGTGTAACATGCTCAGAATGTTCATGAATGAGGCCCTTGAATTAAATAGGCACAAGGTGCTGAGGAGTTGTTTTGAGGGATGACCGGAGCCCCTTCCTTGTCTCTAGGAACCAGGAGTCCCTGTCCTTAGGGACCTGGAGACTGACCACATTCTGCCATTGATATGTGGGTATGCCACTGGGAACGAAGGTGAAAGTTCCCTACAACCTCCTCTGTGCCCTGTCCCTGCCCCCCACCTCCCTGACCTCACCTGCACCTGAAAATCAGTATTAAGCTTCTTTCCAGAGGGCCCTTTCTTCTCTTGTCCCCTCCCCATCCTTGCTTCCCTCCTTCTCTTTGCTCTTCTTTTTCTTCTTCTCTTTCTCCCTCCTCCTCTTTTTTCCCCTTCTTCCTTCTCCATTCCCCTTCTCCTTCTTTTTTTTAAACCCAATTTTATTTTTCCTGAAGCAATATCAAAGCACAGAACAAGTCCACCCACATACAAGGACAACCTCTAACTCTCTGAAGAGCATGTTGGTTTCCATGTTAGAGTGGCTTTGTTCCAGACTAAACCAAGTCCTCATGTGATGTTTCCCAAGCCCCCACCTGGCCTGACACCCTCTTTGGTGGTGGTACCTGTGCTGGTCAAGGGCCGCTTAAAGGATGCTGAGTGTAGGCAACACCCGGGTCCTGTGCTCTGGCCACAAAGACAAGCTGTCCTCCTGCTAAGCCTACAAAGAGAGTGAAGGGGACAGTTGTGTTCTCAACTGACCCAGGAATTTATCAGCAGGGCAGTGTTGGGTTGGAACCCAGAGCCTGTGAGGCCAGGACTGTACTCATGTACTGCACTGTACGCATGGGCTGTCTGGGGGCATACAGCTACTGGTGCCAATGGCATGCGACTCCCCTGGAGACCTGGTTCATCCATCCACACTTGCAGGGCCTTGGCAGTGAGGCCTGGAGAAAGGAGGATGAGGGGACCCTCAAACCCTTGGTTGCATTCCTCCCTACTGTAGGAACCCCTCCTTTGCAACAGGAACATCTCTCTTCATTTCTTCTTTCCTTCAAGGGCCTCCAAGACCTTGTGTCCCATCATCCACTGCGCCTTTGCTATCTGTGTGAGCTGTGTTCTCCCTCCAGGGCCCTTGTGGAAGAGCTGTTGCCCCCAGCACTGATGATAGCCTCAAATGTCTGAATACTCCCCACCTTCACATACAGACCCCCTGGTGTGCTCAGATCCTGGCAGAGGGTGCCCCGCTGCCTGCCAGCCCTGCCACACTCTGAAGCTGGCTGCTCTGTCTGCCTGGTCCCCTCATCAGCCCCCTCACTGCTGTGGTCTCCATGTTCCAAGCAGACATTGGAGCCCCTCCCCCAGAGCAGAATTGACTTTGGAAGATTTCTGGGGGACCAGTGATGTCCCAACTTGTTTGCTTTTCCAGGGCTGATGTTTGCAGAGACTAAAACTGAAATCATTCCACATCCTTGCGCAATGCCTTCAGTAGGCTCCCACAGATAAATGAGGCCTTCTGCCCCTCTATCTGCCTAGCTTCCTAAGCAGAGTACCTGGGTTGGTTCAGAAGCCTCCTGCCATCCACTCACTTGCCAGGGACTCTCCAGGGGCAGCTATGAAGTTCTTTGTTTTGTTCCTTTGCCTTGTTCAGCTCTGGGGCTGTCACTCAACCCCAGTTGTCTTGGGGCTGGAGGAGAGGAACCCAGCTTGCGATGACCCAGAGACCGAGGCGGCAGCCCTGGCAGGTGTGGACTACCTCAATCAGCATGTTCGTTGGGGCTACAAGCACGTCTTGAACCAAATTGACAAAGTCAGAGTGTGGCCTCGGGTAAGTGAGCTTGGGGTGAGTGAGCTGGAAGCACCTGTGCATGGAGCCCAAGCTGGTGCTGCAGAGGACCAGCACTTCCCAGCACAAATGAAGCCGCAGTGGGGAAACCGAGTTCTTGCCAAGCCTGGAAGAAGGGGCAGGTGCACAGCAAGCGGGAGACAGTTCTCCAATCAGTGGGATGTGTGGGAAGAGGGAGGAGAAGAAAATGCTTCCATGGCTATTTTGCAGATCACAGAGGGAAGGCACGGTTTGCTGAGAAAACTAGGGCCCAAGAGACTGGCTCCTAGTACCAAGTTATCTCTGCCAATCATTTACTTTTCTTGGCTTCTCTCTCATAAAAACTGGGAGTCAATGGAACTTGTATTTGGCAAGTGCTTACTTGGGTCAGGCTCTTCCACACAGCTCATTTCCTGGACTTCCCTGCCCTACTCCAGTCCTGGTCAGTAGCTGTAATCTTTAGGTAGATAGAGACACAAGGGCTCTGATGTGTTGTCACTATTAGCTCAAGGCCATAGTGAGCATTCGGGGTGGGATTTTATTTCAGACCTGGCTTCCTTCCTCCATACAAGGTGTCTCCCAAAACACATTCCTTACATTTCAGAGAGAAATTTTAAGAGGATTCACTTCTCCACATGCTTGACAAGAAAACAGTGCAGGCTGAAGCCAGTGACCCTAAAGAAAGACTGAAAACGTGTTTAGGAAATCAGTTGAGAAATTTGGAAGGGTGGGAAAAAAGTGTTTGTCAGCTACTCATTTTGGAATTAGATTTGACATCTATTTATGGATAATATTTCAGCAATCATCTCAAGCTTCCTTGAATAAGAGCTAGTCTCAGGTGCTATGGGAGCTATTAGGATAAGTCCTTAAGATTACCAACATTTGGCTGTTTTTTGACGTACAAAAGTGATCATTTTCCATGTTTCAACCCAATACATGGGTGAGAAAGACAGTTTGTGCCCACAAGGGACCTGCAATATAGGAGGGAAAGTAAGGTAAAGACCAGGATATCAGGACTGATGGTCGACCCCTGATTTCACAAAGGGACAAGCCATTTGAAACGAGGACCAGCTGGGAATTTTTTTTTTTCTTTTTGAGGCAGGATCTCACTATGCCATTCAGGCTGGCCTTGAACTTTGTAGTCTAGGCTGGTCTTGAACTTGCAATGATCCTCCTGCCTCAGCCTCTCAAGTGCTGGGATTCCAGATGTGTGCCACCACACTCGGCTTCAGCTGGGGAATTTTAAGAGTGATGCTGAACTAATATTGGTGGCTCAGAGAAGCGACTGATCAGTTTAGGGGACATAAGCACGGATCACACATCTGTGAATGAAAGAGCAATGGGTAGGCATCGTGAGGAGCTCAGATATGCCTGGCCCCTGGTCACTGCAGCTCTGAGTCCCTTCCGGAAGTGCCTTTGGATACACCTGCACTCTGATCAAAACCTGTAGCACTTCTCCAGGGGCTTCAGGTACGAGTGAGTCAGGCAGAACTAAAATGAGAGACAGATCCAGGCTGAGACCTGACGGAAAGGACACCTAAACAGGTGAACAAACAAGAACAATTCCAAAGAGTTAGGCAAGCATCCTAAGGGCTTCTGCGTTGGTGATAAAGTGTTTCCTAGTTACAGAATAGACTCGCTCTTCTCACCAGCAGCAGTCGCCAGCAGGGTGCAGTAGAGAGCACCCGCTGCGAGCCCAGGAAATTAAAGCCAAAGGACAAAGCAAAAGCCTAGGGCCACAGCATCAAATAACCCGTAAGAAGGAAAAGACAATGGGAGAAAATAGGCGATGAGAGGGAAGGAAGAACGGTCTAGAGGGAGGGATAGAGAGGATAAAGGAAAGGCAATAAGCTATCACCCCACACCTGCACACAGCTTGATGAAGAAACCCAAAGCTGACTTTTTGAAAGCACTGCTTGAAGAGCGATATTTTTAACATTAAAAAAAAAAGTACCAACACACATTTCCAAGTTTCCAAGTAAAGTCCAAAGTGAGATCTGTGTCTCGATCCCTTGCACAAGCCCACAGTCCTTCCTTCCTTGAAGCATCGTTCGGCATTTGCCTAGACGCCAGAGGAAGACCCCGAAAAGCCCCGAAGATGGGTCATGAGCCTGACCACGGGCCAGGCCAGTACTGGACAGAATGGAGACGGAGGAAGGGTGTGTGGGGCGGGCCTGGGCGGAGGGCGCTGCTCACGCACTCGTCTTCTCTCCACAGCGGCCCTCCGGAGAGGTGTATGAGCTTGAATTCGACACGCTGGAGACCACCTGCCACGCCTTGGACATCACGCCCTTGGCGAACTGCTCTGTGAGAACGGTGACCCAACACGTGAGTGCCCCGCGAGCGTATCAGGCGATTCCACCCGGGGGCAGCAAAGAGCAGGACTCGGCGCGTGTACCAGCTTTGCAGCTTTCTGAAATCGCTATTGGACGTTGCTTTCTGTGGGCTGTTTTCCTCCCCACCCCTCGGGGTTGAACACAGGGTTTCGCGCGTGCTAGGCAAGCGCTGTACCTCTGAGCTGCATTCCCGGTGCTTTTATTTTTTCTTTTCTTTTTCTTTCTTTCTTGTTTTTTTTTGGGGGGGGGGCTTTTTGAGACAGGGTCTCTCTCTGCAGTTCAGACTGGCTTTGAGCTCTCTTTGTAACCAGGCTGGTCTTGAATTTGCAACAACTGTCCTGTCTCAGTCTCCCGAATGCCGGGATTATAGGCGGGCGCCACCAAGCCGGCTCTTTTTTTTTTTTTTTTTTTTTTTTTTTTTTTTTTTAATTTAAAGAAAAAAACAAAACAGAAAAAGTGTAGAAATAATACATAATTTTAAAAAATAAATAGTAAGAAGTCACTACTTGATAATTACATATTGTCTTCTTAGAAATAGTTGTTCAAGTTACAAAAGTAAAGCATACAAAATAGACAAACAGCGAGACTGTGCAAACAGTTCTGTTCAACGATCCAACAAAAACTTAGTAATACGGTTTTCAATTCTACACACCTAAACACACATCTAGTTATAAACTTTAGAGCACTTTCTTTTCCTCTCTTTTTTACAATAGCAATTACACATTTTGGGTTTTATTACTCCTACATTTCTTACTACTTTTTACTCTAGAGACACAATGTGATATTTATAAATATGATTCTTATTTATTTCACTAATGAGAATAGTCTTAAGTTTTTGTTTTTTAAACAAGGGCTAGCTAAATTGCCCCGGCTGGTCTCGAACTTGAGACCCTCTGGCCTTGGCCTCTGTAGTAGGTGGGATTACAAGCGTGCCACCATATCTAGGGCTAGCGTTAATCTGTATTATAAGTAACTCTCTTGAAGTCTCCCCTGGAAACAGTGTGCTGTGGCCCGCGAGGCCGCTTTTCCCTGGGACCTCACGGTGGGTTTTTCTCTAGGCGGTGGAAGGGGACTGTGACATGCACGTGCTAAAACAGGACGGCCAGTTTTCCGTGGTGTTTGCAAAATGCGAGTCCACTCCAGGTACAGACACAGGGTCATTTTCTTATTTTTCTCGTCCCTGTAGACCGCCTAGGGGAGGAATCCGCATAATTAACCGTACGGTTCTAGTAGCTCTGTCGGCGGCGAGGACCAGAGCAGCTAGCCTTCCCGGGTCTCGGGATTTTAAGGAGCTGTTCTCATGGGGGTGAACATGGGCCCTTGGTAGCGGAGACTCCTGCGTGGCCCACCCCAAGGCTTAGTTAAGAAGCAGGAGGAGGCCTGAAGCTGCCCGCCCAAGCCCAGCCACGTTCTGCACACGCGGAGCATCCGGAGCCAGGGCGCTCAGTGGGGCGCGCAGTGAACGCTTCCCCTCTGCCCCTCTGTGCAGACTCCAGGGAGGACGTGCGCAAAGTGTGCCCCCAGTGCCCCCTGCTGACGCCTGTGAACAACACCAAGGTGGTGCACGCGGCCAATGCCGCCCTGGCCGCCTTCAACGCGCAGAACAACGGCTCCCACTTTGAGCTGCTGGAGATTTCCCGCGCTCAGCTCGTGGTAAAGACGGAAAAACCCGGGGCCAGAGTGGGAGGTGGGAGTGGCACGTGTGGCGAGGGCGGGGTGAGGGAAGAACAAGGTTCCCAGAGTATGCTGGTGAGTGTCGTGAGGACCCCGAAATCCTCAGGGGCTCCCCAGGGCTTGCCACAGATGGGCACAGCCCCCTTCCTGGGCGTAGCTAAAGGCCCGGCTTTCGGGGTGCAGACTGCCGATTTCCGGCCTCCACACAGTCACCACCCAGCGCCACCGCATCGCAGCAGCCTGCAGTTGCACTCACCAGCATGTGCTGCTTATACTGACTGGCAGAGAGCCACAGGATCCTAAAATGCCTTTTGAATCATCGGGGAAGGAAACATCTACTTTTCTCCAAGATGGTTTGGCATGGTTGGATGTAATATAATTACAATATGTGAGAAGCCTGAGAACCTGGATAGTCGCCATGGCATACTTGGAGATGCATTTATATAGATGGTGTTCCTTTTCTCTCGTTGCTGGGACAAAATACCCAACACAAAAAATTAAAGAAGGAAAGTTTTATTAGCTTACAGTTTTCGGAGGTTTCAGTCCATAATCAGCTGGCTGCAAGGCAAGGTGAGGTGGTCCTGGGACAATATTTCAAGGCAGCAGCCAGAGCTAAATGGGGAAGAGCAAGCCTGTTTTCCTCACTGATATTGTACACAGGCCAACCCTGCCCAGGGCGGGTGTAGCACTCACAAAATCTCTGTGCCCCCCTCTTGCACAGGATGAGGATATTTAAAGTAAGGATCGTGGCTCCCTGCTGAGTCTCTCAGTTAAACTTCTAGACTTCTCAAGTTGACACACTGTATCAACCCTAACAGGTGATAATTCTTTTAACCAGAAAGATGCAGCTCCTTTCAGGTCATATTTCTTCAGGTTCATTTTCCTGTTTTCTTCTCAGCCTCTCCCAGTTTCTACCTATGTAGAGTTTGCAGTGGTAGCTACTGACTGTGCTGCTGCAGACGGCACAGATCCAGCCTGCTCCGGGCCACCAAAAAAGGTAAGCAGGCCAATGGTCAGTGCTACCCGGCAAGGCTGGTTGTACAGCATGGAACCCTCATGTAGTTTGTATCTGGGGGCTGTGGGAAGAAAATAACAGTGCAAAATCTCCATTTCCTGGGGAGCTGGGTCATGGCAGACTTTCCTCTGCAGTCTTACCCCCCCCCTTAACAATGGTCACCAAATCGACTCCCTCACTGCAGGTACACAGAATTAGAGGAAAGATAGGGCGTACGTATGTCCTAATAAAGACAGGTCATGCCCAGATGCTGGTGTAGGAAGCATAGATTTCCTAGAAATACCTCGGATGCAAAAGCTTTCAAGTCCTTGCGCCAGTCAGTCATGTCCACTTGCAGGAATTTAGCCTAAGAAAGTGATCAGAGATGTTTGACAGAGATAGATCTACAGAGATGAAGATAGATCACCACAGATATAAAATGACAGAAAGGGAAAGATGCCAGTGTCTAGCAGGATGGCATCATTGTAAAGTACATGTGCATCATTAAGTAGAAAATTATGCAGGATAATGAAAGATAGGAGAAAATGCTATTCTATTAAAGTGTACAAAAAAACAGGACATGTATGAGGTCATGAGTTTGACCCCTGCTACCAAAGCAAACAAACAAAACCAGGACATCCAATGATATGATAACAAATTACATGTAATATTTTTAAAAAATAATAAAGACATGCATTGATATTAGCAATAGGACTTCTGAGGCCACCACCATTTCTGGGATGCTGGGTGATCTTGGTCACTTGAGTAGTACTTCTGCATTGGTCTGTGTGGACATAGAATTATATATTATATATCTTTTAGAAGCAGAAACTGTAAACTTGAAAAAGGTATTTTTAAGAAGGATTAAAATTTTGGTTTTTTTACCTTGATGTATACTTGTATCAGTGACGCCAAGGGAGAAATTCGTTTGTTTGTTTTTTTAATGTATTAAAATAACCCCTCTCTTTTGGCAGCAATATGGCTTCTGCAAGGCGACAGTCGCTGAGAAGCTTGGTGGGGAAGAAGTTTCAGTGACCTGCACGGTGTTCCCAACACAGGTAACAGTGTGATGGAGACTCCTGCTCCTGCCTTCTGAATCCAGCTGTCCCTTACCATCTCTCGATGGTGCATTTGTAAAAACAGGCATGTGCTGTCCTGTCCTTCTGAACCTTACAGTGTAAGTGACACCGGAGGATGCAGAATCATCAACACACAGGACATTTCAGGATGTCTCCTTCCCCTGAACTGGTGGCTACAGGGTAGAGCAGTCCTAGTATGTGCTTGACAAGGCCACCTGTGATTCCTGGGAGGGGTGGGTGGCTCCCTGAGCTACAGGAAGAGATGGGCAGAGTTGCCTGGCATATCAGTGGCTGCACATGTGGAGGACAAAGAGTGAAAGTGAGCTGTACATGCTGAGTTGCTATATGTGAGAACACTTGTATGTGAGAACACCAGATACCCAGATAATCCTGGTGAGGCTGGGGTCCCAGGTAGCTCTGACAACAATCCTTTGTATCTATGCAGTTGTTTTTTGCTAAATTCCTTGCAAATACAAGTCATTACTGTGGGGAAATTGGGTAGGGGTACCACCCAGACCTGAGGGTGGGTTTGCTTGGGAGGAGGAAGCAAAGTAACCCAGGGAAATGTTTTTCTCTCTAGCCTGTGGCCCCCCTGCCCCAGCCAGATGCAGCCTCATCAGCAAACCCACCCCCTGCAGCCGACCCAGCTGTATCTCCACCCTCTTCACCTAGTGTGCCTGTGGATTCTGTGGCACTGGGACCCAAGAGGGTGTTACTTCCACCCCCCGTGCACCGGGAACACTATAACCTGCGCTACAGCTTCCCAGATGTGGATTCAGCCTCAGGAGAAGCATTCGGCCCAAGGCAGAAGCCCAAGGTGACACATCCTGGCGTGGCCAGTGGTGTTGGCCCAGTGCCTCCTCCCCCATGCCCTGGGAGGATCAGACACTTCAAGATCTAGCCTAGACACAGCAGAGATGAGAAGGTTGGGCAAAGAGAACACAGCCACTAGTTTGTCCAAGTCTGGGTGTGGGTGGGGACCTTGTCCGTTGTGAAAGCCAGTATCACGTGTGTCTGGAGTCAGAGCAAGTCTTGAATCCCAACTTCTCTTCATGCCTTGGAGGATAGAAACAGACAGGGTGATGGTTATGTCTGATGGAAGGTCACCAGCTTGATCATTATTGTTTTGCTGATAAACCACTGCCATGGTGTTCTCTGCCTTCTCGTTGACCTTGTATTCACAGTCGGACTGTGACTCTAATGGTGCTCTTGCCAAGCTTGTATCTGCCTACTAATAAAGTGCCTGAGGGACCTTCCTTAATAAAGAAGGCTCTGAACTGAAATGCAGTGCGATCGTGGTTATTACTTACTTAATGCCAGGTCTGCTTGCTTGTGTGTGTGTTCTTTCTTCCCCCAAACCTTGTACTCCAGCAGATCTCCATGGAGATAGAAAGAGAAGAGAGAAAAGCTCTGCGGTGTTACAGTATAAAGGGAAAAATGAGATTAAGGTCTGCTCACAACCTGTAGCCCATTGGCCATTTCTTTCTGAGAAAGCAATGCTTTTTATTCAGTAAGGGACAGAACGTGTTGCCAAAGGAGAGCCATGTGCCTGACCTTCATACGGAGAGGGTGACCATTTGTTTTTCTCAAGACTTGGGTTAGGAAGGATTGGTAATTAATACAGGAATTTTGCATTAACTATATTTATTCATTATTTATGTTTAAAACTCCTGTTAAATGTACTGTATTCATTTCATTTTGTGGTGTGGGATTGATCTTTCAAGCTGATCCATTCCAAGGACCTAAGTGAAAGCCGTGGTATATGGTACAGAAAGAGAACGGTACCTGACCAGGTGGGTCCTGTGGACATTTGTAGACACCATCTATTGTCTCGGCTTGGGGGTAAGTCCATGGAGGTTCTAGAGGGGGAATGGGGATGAAAGGGGACAAGAGACGCAAAGAATGGAGACAAGTCAGAAGTCGATCAAGTCTCGTTTATTCAAGGAAAAAGTATCAAACATATAGGGTATTGAGGAGGGAGTTGGGTTCTGAGACAGCAGCAGGTAACTTAGCAACAGTGGCAAGACTGAGGGTTATAGGTTAAATCAAATTTTCAAATTTCCCCAGGCACAGGCTGATTAACATAATCCCTGAATAGGCCAAACAAGCTAGGCAAGGTGCTATTTAATTACCAAACTTAGCTCCTAGAGGGAGTTAAGGTGGTATGGCCTGCAGGTATAAGGTGGCAGTCAATTACAGGGCTTCCCACAATCCATATGCTCAGACAGCTTAAGGGAACGAAAGGTCTGAGTCATGAATGGTGCCATGGTAACTTCCAACTTTGCCTATCAGCATTAGGTCGATGTGGTTCACTTCAGGGATGGACTCTTCCAGGTAGACTTTTAAAGGCTGAGATAAACAGCCAGTTGAGTGGCCATGCTGAACCAAGGAGACTGATTCAGGCATCACCTCTCACCTATCACTTTTGCCTAGAGATTTTTCCAGCATTCGAGTAATCAGAAGGATTATCCAGGATGGTAACGAAACTGCTAGGTGTCACAACAGCCAGATAAGAAGACAGAGATCTGGCAGCTGTGCCAGATGTTGCAGAAGGAGCAACAAGGACCAGGGCTGACTCTGGTGCCATGGTGACCACTGGCAGGTGCACCACACCAGGAGGGGAATCCAGTCATTGAGGCTTGCACAGTGGACAGGAGGAGGAAATGAGGGTAGGTATGTTCATCTCTTTAAAGCGGATGGATTGTAAAGGGTAGGAGAGAGGAGATAAAATATGAAGTGGAAGCTCTGGAGCATATTTAGGGCAGAAGGTAGGAAGAAGAGAGAGAGAGGAACTGAGCGGAGGAAAGGGGAGATGTTTAGTGGAGATTCCAGTCCTTCCTTAGGGATCCTACATAGATGCTGCCCAGCGCTACAAGACAGTCATCCACTTTTGTGCCTGCTGCACAGATATCACTGAGAGGAGCACATGGAGTGCTAAGAGTGTTTCATGAGGCAGGTGGCAGACACGCAACTCAAGTGAGCTTAAGTGCAAAGGAGAATGCTATTGGTTGCCTTGTGTACTGAAAAATGAAGTGCACGAGGCTGAATCCACATCTGGGAAGCTGTAGCGCAGGTTATAGTGTTCCCGGTGCACGGGGGGTGGAAGTAACACCCCCTACAGTTCAGAAGATGGGAATTTAGCAGATAACAGCAGGTCTCAGCAGGTCTACCTCTGCTCGCCTTTATTCCTGGTGGGTTGGCTATGCAGCCCCATGCCTACACGTGCATTAATGCCCACGTCTGAAGGAGGAGAAATGGCCAGCATTCTGGCCAGTAGAGTGGCAGACACAAAGACCCCATGGCAGGAAATGGGGTAATGTGACCAAGGAGTATGCCTTTTTATTTTTTGGATGAAACTCTATGACATGCCAACCCCTTGCCATCCCTTTCCTTTTTAAATGCAGTCATTCCCTTGTCCAAATAGTCCAGCTTTCTTCTCTGCAGCCATTCAGCCCCAGGCTCTTCCATTTAGCTCATCTTCTTTTGCTTCCCCTCAGAGAATAGTTTTCCTAGGGTCCTGCTCCTTCTTATCTTGTCACCTGACCTGCGCTCCTAGAGTGAGCTCATCCACTCTCCTCCACCTATGGCTGGTGAAGTCTCACTCATTTCCTTTAAGCTTCAGGCCCCTAAATCCAACACAATTATAAATCTTCACTTGGATTCTTCAAATCTAAGTCTCTCTCTCCACCCCTTCCAACTCCGCAAATTTGCTCCACTTGGTAATGACAACACAACTCCCAGATCCAGCCTGAACCCTCAGACTGGATCCCCGCGCCACCCTTCTCCTTGCTGCTGTGTTTGATGGGTTTGAACATCTTGATGTCTGCACCATCAGCACATCTAGGACCCAGCCCTTCTCCATTCCCATGGTCACTTCCATCTCTATACAGCAGGTCTCCCTAATTCCCAACTGTATCAGTCAAGGTTCAACCAAATGTAGAACCAGTGGGAGGTGTTATAAGAAATTGACCTATGCATTTGTGGAAACTGGGGAATCAACCTCTGTAAGGCTGTATTTCAGATGCCGGACCCTGAAATCCGCAGAGCAGCCTTTAAGGAAAAGAAGATGGATATGAAGTGCCATATGAGAAGGCATACAGAGGGCTGGAGAGGCAGGTGGTAAAGTGCTCGCCTTCATTCCTGGTGGGCTAGCTATGCAATCCCATGCCTACATCTGCATTACCCAATAGACAAGTGTTACGTCTTATACCTGGATGTCCCCCCAAAGCCTTATGCACTCACAGGTGGGGCTTCTGGGAGTGACTGATCATGTGTGCGTGATACTGGATTAGCCTACTGATTGGCTTAGCATAGTTGTGGATGTGGGTGATGGATTTACTGAAGAGGGAAGACCCATCCAGGGTGTGGATGGCACCAACCAACAATATTAATGTTTAGCAACTAGAATATTTTATGTTGGCATTTCTTATTCTATGAGTAGATATATGTGAAGCTACATTTTAACCCTATGAATATTTTAACATACATCAAAAAAGCATACTATACTAAACAGGCTGAAGGACACGTTTTGCAAAAACTAGCAGTGCAGGAGTTTAGATGTTTTTTAGGTTAAGATGTAATAAGTGTGGCTGAAGACTGCTAACAGCTGGTGTGGTGTCTGCAGTCCTTTTTCATATCTAGTTTAGCTCTGTTTATGTTGCCATTGTGAAAATTTTTTGGTTATACCTTCTTTCTGGGTGTTTAAAATCACACCAAAATTTGACTTTTGCAATTTGAACCTATCCTATTTATTTCTCTCTCTACTTATCTACTTACCTATCATCTGTCTGTCTGTCAGACAACGTCATTTAAGGTTTCTCCAAACTCCTTTTGGGCTGTGTAAGACATCTCTGAGCTCCTCATGCTTTTTCTGTGCTAGTTGTGTTATCTGCCAAGATGGGTCATGGTCTTACTCAACCATATGGCTGTTTTTGAAGTCTGAGGACATTCTCCGCTTTTATGACCCTTCTTTTTGTAGAATATACATTGGTTGACTCCTGTCCTTTGGGGTCCAACTTCTTGCCTCTGCTTGGGAGGTTGGGTGAGGGGTCCTTTTAGAGGTTGGAATCATGCCTTGGGTCCCACAAGGGTCAAAATATTGGCCATTGTCTTACCGTATGTATGTATATTTGTATGCACGCATGCATGTATGTATGTCTGCAAGTCTTAGTTGTTGAATGACTAGAAAGTTCATTATACCAATCTTGAAATGTGGGTATTAGGCTTTAGTCTCAACTACTATAATCTTTTTTGGATATTCGGACACTATCCAACTGTTTAGGTTGTTTGTTATAAGTCACACTGTGACTGAGAAAATGACCCCCAACCCATTAGATGTCAGATGTTCCAAGTTTGTGCCTCCTTATACTGAAGAATGAAGTTTGAGGACAAAGGTTAAGAATCAGAAAGGTTCCTTTGAGATAGGAGGGGTTCTGAAAGTGGGTTGCTGCACAGGCTTTTTTCCAAGGATATTTTATACAGCAAAATCACGACGTTGACCCACGTACAACTATGGATCCAACTGCAATCAACCCACAAGATTATAAGCATAGTGGCTTGGCTAATATTGATCCAAGTAGGAAGTGAGGCACAAAACAAGAGTATATGGCAAGGATCATTAACCTTAGCTTATCTGTAAGTTTTAACATAGAACAAAGGCATTCCAGAAAGGGACCGAGATGTCGGGTCCTGATGTTCTGGTCACTGACTTACATGCTGATGCCCATCTGGGCTCACCGAACGAGGGAGGCTACTTACAGTGCAGTCCCAAGGTGCTGCTTATTTGGGGGCTGGTTGTCATTTCCATCTTGAGGCCTGGCTCTCCCCAGCTTCACTTGCAGCCACAGTTTTGGTGGTCTCATCCTCTGCACTGACTGCCTCCAGGGCCCGATCTCTCTCTGACTGCTGTTAATCTCTATCTAACTTACTGTCCGTGATAATATTCCTATAGAATAACAAATGGTAGTGATAGAGTTTTACAATAAACATGTGAGGGCTCGGGGATACAGCTCAGTGGCACAAGCAAGGTGTCATGAGTTTAATTACGGTACCAAAAAAAAAAAGAAAAAAGAAAAGAAAAGAAAAGAAAAAGAAACATGTAAAATTAAGTCAGTGCAAATCATAGCAAATGCATCTTATTATTTATACAATAAACAAATGTTTGTTTAGTCAAAGCCAGTAGATGTAGATTAGGTTTTAAATGGCAGGACTGAACTGTACCAAGTATAAAGAACAGAAACACCAGAAACTGATCATGTTATGCTCAATGTCTACATGTA